AGTTCATCGACAAGTCTTGTCCCTTCTACCATCAAAATATATTCAGAATCTGACCACTTTCACCCTCTCCACTGCTGCCACCCTTATCTATTCCACCATCTTACCCACCTTGATTGCAAGCTCCTAACTGAGCTCCCTGCCTCATCCCTTGCTCCCCTCTGGTCTGTTCTCTACTGAGCAACCAACATGGATTTTTGGTCACTTCTCTGACTTCAAGTCCTGCAACTATGCCTCAAAAACATCCTTCTCACACCGCACTTGTTCCAAAGCCATCAGACTAGTTTTCCCCAACCCCAGCCTGAAGCATTCTTTTACTATGCATGACTCACCCTCTCACTTTTTTTTAGGTCTTTGCTCAAATATCTTCTTATCAGGAAGGGCTTCTCTTAGTATTCTATATAAAATAGCTCTTCTCCATCATCCTTTTCCCTGCTTTACTTTTTGTTGATGACCCTTTTTTTTTTTTTCCCACAGAGACTCGCTTTGTAATCCAGGCTGGAGTGCAGTGGCATGATCTGGGCTCACTGTAATCTCCACCTACTGGGTTCAAGCGATTCTCGTGCCTTAGCCTCCTGAGTTGCTGGGACTACAAGTGCGTGCCACCACACTAAGCTAATTTTTGTATATGTATTTGAATTTTTTTTTTTTTTTTTAGTAGAGACGGGGTTTTACCGTGTTGGCCAGGTTGGTCTTGAACTCCCAACCTCAGGTGATCCACCTGTCTCGGCCTCCCAAACTGCTGGGATTACAGGCATGAACCACTGCGCCTGGCTGACCCTTTGTTTTTCTTATCACATCTGACATTACTCGTATATTTTTTCTTTGGCTTCAGAATGACAGATAAACTTTATTGACTCATGCATGGCACTACTTGTTTATTTAATTAGCTAGTTGTGTGTTTGTTTTTGATAGATAGCTGTAAACTCACCATTCAACATAGAAACTAGAAGCCATAAATCATTTTTTATATATGTGTGTGCACGTGTATACATGTATATGTATATATGTGTATAGATATAATTTTAACGGCGCGGTGGCTCATGCCTGTAATCCCGGCACTTTGGGAGGCCTAGGCGGGCAGATCACGAGGTCAGGAGATCGAGACCATCCTGGCTAACACGGTGAAACTCCGTCTCTGAAAAAAGTACAAAAAATTAGCCGGGCGTGGTGGCGGGCGCCTGTAGTCCTAGCTACTGATGAGGCTGAGGCAGGAGAATGGCGTGAACCCAGGAGGCGGAGCTTGCAGTGAGCCGATATCGCGCCGCTGCACTCCAGCCTGGGCAACAGTGCAAGACTCTGTCTAAAAAAAAATTAAAAAATTAAAAAAATTAAAAATTAAAATTAAAATATCAATAAATTTTTTTTTCACTGCCACTCCAGACTCAACTAGCATGTAAGCTACATGCGTCCAAGGACTTTGTTTTGTTCCTTCTGTATACACAGCATGTAAAATAGTGCCTAACACATAGGCACTTGAAAATAAAGTAAGCACTGCATATTTATATATTAATGTTTTCAACAATAACGTAACTATTGACATGTCCCAAAGCAGGGGACACATCTTTACCTCTGTTCTGTCCAACCTTCCCTCTCTACAGTTCTTTCTTTGACTTCGCTCCCTAGAAGCATGAACTGCGGTGAGCACTTTCTCCCTGCCTTTGCTTGTACTGTCTTCTACCCCTGAAATTGCACCCCCAACCCTTTGGCCTTAGGATACCGGTACAATTCCTTTTTCCAGACGTTCATGAGTCACTTCCAAATGCTTTCTCTGTCAATCTGATGATTATGTGTCTTGGGGTTGATCTTGTCATGGAGTGTCTTACTGGGGTTGTCTGGATTTCCTGAATTTAAATGTTGCCCTGTCTCGTTAGGTTGGTGAACTTCTCCTGGATGATGTCCTGAAGTATGTTTTCTCCAAAGGCATAAGCTCCTTGAAATTCAGGAAGCAAGTCCAAGACTTCACCCTGGTCTTATTCCACAGCCCTATAGGGTGAATAGAAGCAGGCATGAGATACCCGGCTCACACGTGGAGAAACTGAAGTACACTCCATCATTTCTGAGCAGGAGCAATAGCTCAGAGCCCCCCAGAACTCCTCTTCAGACCTCCTATTTAATAGTACCTTGGGGAGGGGGCTGCTTCTCTGTGGCTTCAGCAAATCTTACTATAAAGCCTTGTGCCCCTCCGAAGGTAACCATGGATACTATTGAGCTGGCACAAAAGCCTTCAGTTAATGGAGACTACAAGTGGTTTTCAGGGGCTGAAGGAATTTTCAGGGGAGGGCCAAAACCTGGAAACACTTGCAAAGGGAAGACTTTTGCCTCAGGCCCCTTGACTGGGTGTGTTTCAGTTAAGGTGGGCACTTATGTTCAGAGGAGCACTGGAGCAGTGACAGGGCTCTAATCTGGGACTAGGATAGTAACTAGCTGTGAGGTGAGAATCAAAGGGAATCCCAGGCGCTTTTTTTCTTGGGAACCAGGGACCCTGCTGTGAAATCTGGAGCGGGGTTGTTGGGGGGTTGAGGGACCGACCAAAGCGATGCCAGCAGCAACCCAGTCTCCTGAGTGACCCAGGCCAGGGTCTGCAAACAACCGGGTGTCCTGGCCCCAGTCAGGGGGAGCTTCCAGCAGCGCCAAGTCCCTATCCTCATCTCTGCCTTCAGGGGTGTTTTTCTCCTTTCAGCCCAGGGCTACAGGCAGGCAGGAGAAATTCACGCCCGGAATATATCGAGAAGGCGCCTTATTTCCTCTGAGCCCTTGCTGAGTGTCGAGAGGGTGCTCACGTCGCTCCTCCGACCCCAAGAGTCCACAGTGTTCCCTCACACCCCTCTATTTTGAGACGAGGCCCATGCGGTGAGCGGGAACCCCTCTGTTCCCCGGACCCGCGCGGAGCTGGGCCCTAACTTTGCAGTTCCCGCCGCAGCGGCACGCCCCCACGAGGTGGGAGCGGGAAGCCCAGCCGCACCGAGGCTCAACTCCGCCAGGTGCAGAGTGGGTGCGGGTCAGGGCCGATGAGAGAGTGTGTGGCCAAGCCTGCTGCTTTCCTGAACCGAAATTCTCAGGGGAGGGAGAGAAGAGGAGGGTGCGGGAGATGGACTTGGAGGCGAGAGGTGGCGGCAGTTTCCAGGAGCTTTGACGTAGACTTGGAGAGGCGCCGAGCACTCCCACTGCTTAAGTAGAGGCACGATAGCCTCCAGGACGCGGAAGCTGGGGACAGCCACTCGCTCGGGAGCAGCCTGAGCGTTTTCTCTCCGCGCACTCGAGGGAACTCTCTCCACGCGTTCGAGGAAACCTGGAAGGGGCCAGGCGGGTGAGTGCGGAGGGAAGCCCTTGTGCCATCTGGGAGTAGAGCCGCCGAGTCAGGAGGTGAGTGGGGCCCAAAGGACAGAGCGGGTCCCAGGCAGCTCCGCCCTGCGGAGGGTGAGGCTGTGGAATCAAGTGCGGGGCCGAGACTCAGCGCGGGGCTCGTAGCGGGGTGCACGGAGGACTCCAGGTTCAAGGAACTCAGAGAAACATCTTTTCAGGGTCTGGGAAGCCTCTCCTAAAATTTAGAAGGGGACCTAAAGGAGCCAATTTGAGCGCCGTGGCGCCAGCAGACAGGGAGTCCTGGATAACGCCAACTTCAGTACGTTGGACAGAGTCCTGCCCTCTGAAAACTTAGACTTGTCCTTTAGGAAAACCACCCTTCAAGGTACCTCGATATTTTAGTTTGGAAAGGGACACAACAAATATGATTTCAAGTAGAGATAATGCATATATGATGTGAAAGATAGAGGAAATAGTTTTTGAATACTCTTGTATCTCTAACATGCTTCTTCAATATAGGAACATGCATGTTCAAAGACACTTTCTGAAATATTTATTGAACAGTACCTAAACATGTCCTACTGCTGTTCAGAAGAGACAGACTATCCATCTTATGGTGTTATCATTAAATGTTCCAATATAAGAGTATTCCCATAAGCTGTATTTTGCTTGCTTTCATGATACTAATGTCTAAAGGTTTGGAAATATAGTACAAACCTGAAAGTAAGCAGCATGTGCCCTTCTTATTTTTTCTTTATATTAGAGCTGTTTAAACGTGATATACATTTTGTATAGTCTGTGAGGGAATGGATACACTTTTTCTGGCAAAACGTGAACTTTTAGATTACTATTATTTTAAGAGCATCATTTATCATTGCACTTGTCTGAAGTGGTAGCAAAAGAAAAATTTCAAAGTGGTCTGTGGATGCCCCGATTTTATGGCAAGACATTGGAAGCCAGAAAAGTTGAATGAGAGTCACATTTTTTAAAAAATCCTTGGGATTCATAGCAATAATAGAGAAATTATAAAACATAAAACATTATCTTTATGAAGGTTATATCAGAATTGCAGAACATTTTAGGTATTTGTAAAATGCTTATTGATTCTACTCTAATTGGTTGAATATGTGTCTCTTTGTTTCCACATATATTCATCCATACTTTTAGCACATTGTCTTGTGTTAATTTCACTATAACATTTGACAATTCTAATGTATTTTTTAAAAAATTAAAAGTCACTGTGAACAGGAATGCATCTAAAGATTAAATATATATAAATTCTTAATTATATGTAAGTCCTAGATTAGGAGAGCCAGGCTTCACTAAGATATTATGGAATAGTTAAAGCCATGCAGCAAAATTTTAAATGTTCACTTAGTATTCTTTTAGATTACATTCTTCTGTACTAGGGAAAAACAGATTAGCAGATTAATTTATTCATCTTGTAAAGGAACACATCTTAGGAGTGAATATTTCTTGGCCTATCTTGGATTTATGCTCACTCCCTGGCCTGGCACTGAGTCATTTTAGATAGAATGGAGCTTGTGATATGGGAGCCTGGCTAAGATTTCCCTACTTTGCGACAATGATGTGTTTCCTTTGCTGGAATTAAGGTTCTTAAGGGCATACTTATTTTCTTTACTGAGTGGAGCATAAGCGGGGACTGATATGAAATATTTCCATCCTGTGCGGTTTTAGGGCCATGGCTGATCCTGGGAACAGAGGAGGGATCCACCACCCCTTGAGCTTCACCTGCTCCCTGCTCATTGTGGGAATGTGCTGTGTATCTCCTTTCTTCTGCCATAGCCAGACAGACCTGCTGGCTCTTAACCAAGCTGATCCTCAGTGCTGGGAATCCTCCTCAGTGCTTCTCCTGGAAATGCGGAAGCCTCGCATTTCCAACACTGTTTCGGGCTTCTGGGATTTTATGATCTACCTGAAGTCATCTGAGAACTTGAAGCATGGAGCACTGTTTTGGGATCTGGCTCAACTCTTCTGGGACATCTATGTGGACTGTGTGCTCTCTAGGAACCACGGCTTAGGAAGGAGGCAATTGGCTGGAGAGGAAGAGAAAATCTCAGCAGCACAGCCACAGCACACAAGGAGTAAACAAGGTGGTCAACCCCAGCTCCCATGTCTTTTGAAAGGGTCAATCAAGTATGAATGTGCTGAATTGTGAGGAAGAGGGAAATGGCATTAGGGGAATCCAATGTCATATATATTCCTCTCAAGAGGTGAACCCCAAGAGCACACAACTGATAGGAAGATAGATAGTACTTCTTTCTGCACTGCATAGTAGCTGTTTATATCAACATATTGTCCTTTTCCTCATACTTCCTGTGAACAGCAGCAAGGAAGAGTCAGAAAGAAAAGACAAAAAGCACGATTCCCAAAATACAACAAAAAAGTATAAACAGATCCCCCAAGATCAACATTATTTTTTACTATTAGCCTGAACACTAGCAGTCATAACCTGGTGTTTACTTGCCGTGGAATTGAGAAGACTTGAATATAAGCTTAGGAAACATTTGCAGCACATAAACTCTTGCCCTTCTTAAACTGAAAATAAACATTGCTTTCATGTAAATAGAGAGGCTCTTTGAGAGGCATTCGGTTGAAGAAATAAAGAGTAAAAAAGTCAGCTGGCATGTAGATTCACTTCATGTTGCTTTTTGAATGACTCTCAAATAAGTAATTAACTTGCAGCAATCTGAGTAATTAATTTTTAGTAAGTTGGAACTTGCTACAAATTTAGAGTTTTTCATTGAAGTAAATACTATATTCAAATAGTCTCGTCTGAGGGCACAGAAAAAAAAGTCCCTTATAGAATTAGAATGAGGTTGAGTAAGCGTCTTTGAGTAAGCAGAGAGATGCCTGAACCCTATACATATTATTTTTATCCTTTTTTGATGTCATTTCAACCAACGAGCATTGAAACCTTGTATCAAGGGCTGTTTGAGTGGCCATAACTCTTTAGAATTATATAAACAACTAGAAAATAGGGGCAAAACTAATTTTTACATTTGTACATTTTAGTGTTAGAATTGTTACATATTCCTGTAATCTCCATATTAAAATAGCAATTAACAATGGTAGTTCTAGTGCTACCATTTCCCAAGGTGTTTTAGAGCTTTTATATATCTAGTTTGTTTTAACCTTAGTAATTAAAAATCCTCATGATTTGCTGATCCAAAAAACCCAGATAACTCACGGCTATTATTGACAGATAAGTTTATTATTTTGGTATTATTGTAACTCAAACCAATTTCATTTTTAGAGGAAATATTATTTCAGCAGCCTTGCTACTAAAGTAGAAATACCAAATGAATATTTTTAAATGTTGATCACCCATATTTTAAAAATATTTTGAACAGAGGCTGCCCAGGCATCAGCACCAGTAAGAATTTAAAAATATATTTTTAAATTCTGTACTGCTGAGGATGATCTGTAGGGCCTTTTCTTCCATATTTTAAAAATCATATTAACTGTCTTACTCAAATCACCAGCAATATTTTTTCTATCTTGCACTCACTTTGAATAACTCAAAGAAATGTCTACTACATAAATGAAAATATTATTGGTATTTGGCTGAACATGAAAATGTAACATATATATGTGTGTGTGTATGTATATATATATACACATATATATACACACAAAAAAATAAGTGTGTATATATATACACTTATTTTATAAAGCTGTTCTCCAAAATGTTATATATATGTGTGTGTGTGTATACACACACACACAATAAGTATATATATATATATATATATATATACACACACACACATTTATTTTATAAAGATTTTCTCCAAGACAGCTTCAGATTTGGAAGCCACTTCCTTCGTCTTGCTACAGAGTTGTTAGTGATTCAGCTGGTCTGCAAACTTTAGGGAGTTGGTATGCAAGTAGCCAAATAGTAGGAGTGAGCGTTTCACTTTATTGAGGTTATTTTAACGTTTGACACAAACAATTGTTTGCAGACCAAGAAACAAGACTTTCCATTTGGTTTGTATAATCACAGTCAAAGAGGGTCTTGGGTCAAGGAAATACCACGTCCAAAAGTTAAATAGTTACAGGAACATTGAGATTTCATCTCAAGAGGTTTGCTTAAATCTCTAGTGGTTCAACTGGGCTCTGAATGTACCTGCATGGATCCTCCAGTATGTTTTTCTTTTGTCCCTGGGGGATAATATGTTGTTAGGTTGGGACAGGAGAGAAGGTGAAGCAGTGCTTGTCTCTGTAGTTCTCAAGGAAATCACATCATCAGGGCAGAAGACAAGAAGAACTAAAATAAGTGTCTACGTAATATGCAAAAAGGTTCTTGTTATTTTGATATCTTCAAATCAAATAGTTTAAATGCACTTGATAAATCTTACTATGAATCACACTTTGTTAAAAACATAAAACTCCTATATAATTTTGCATGTTAATATATCATATTTGTTAATACTGAGTCAACAAATATGAAAACAAAAAATATCAAATAACTGTGTAACCATGAGCAAGTTAACTAACTAATTTAGCCCTCAGTTCTTTCAACTGAAAAAGAAGTGTATGGAAAGTAAATGACACACAAAGTCCCATCTTTTCTGTTCCAATGTACTGTGATTATATAAAAAAGAAACATACGAAAGGCACTTATTTAACTGTGAGAAGAACCTGGAAGAGCTTCACCCCAAGGACAGTTGATGGAGCTGGATGATGACCTGAACACTATGGCTGTTTGTAACAGTGATGAGCAGGAACAGACGAGGTTCAGAAATAAAAGGGCTAGAGATGTCATTATGAGAAAAACCTCTAAAGATCATTGTTATTTAGTCTAGAAAGACATGGGCTAATAGCTGAAGGTTGAGGTATCCAAGAGAAGGTATGAAGAGGATGTACCCAGAGTTAAGTTAACCACTAAATTTTGATGGGTTATGTCATGGGAGAAAGAGAGAAAGGGTGAGTGAGAGAGAGAGAGAGAGAGAGAGAGAGAGAGAGAGAGAGAGTTAGGGAAAGAGCATATTGACAACTCCTAAATAGAACATAACAGAATTGAGGGTAACTCGTGGGTTAGTAAAGGCTTCAATGCAAATGAAGAAATTTTGTGTCAAAAATGGTGGCTCCTCCTTCAACAAACTTTGCTATGCCACTGGGAGGCACAAAAAGCCCCTTTCCTGAGCCTGGCAGTTTGTATGTTCTAGAAAAATAGTGAGTTTGTTTTCCTCTGTGATCAGAAAATTAAAATTTAGATTTGTAATCTGTTGGTGTTTGCAGCTGGTGTCTCACTAGCTGGCAAATGCTCATAGTGCTTATATTTTAAACACTAACTACAAGAGAAAACAATTGTTCAGAAACATAAATAGACTCTCAAATGCTTGATTTTCTACTTCACCCACTCCAAGAAATTTTCTAAGCCACATACTCAGCAATTACCCACCTAGAAATCTACTGTGAAGAAACATTTAGAGCTGCAGCCAATGATGCAATCCAAGGCTATTCATTGCAATATTATTTATAGTAACAGGAAACCTGGAAATAATCTAAATGTCCCAAGATAGAGTAGTGGTTAAATAAGTTATAGTATAAAGTGTGCACACACAAAACTATGGTTATCTCTAGGAGGTTATACTATGGGTGGTTTATATTTTTTTTCTTCATATTTATATTTAAAAATATATAATGACTTCACTTTTTTAAAATCAGGCAAATATTTTAATGCCTATTAATTGACAAAAATGTATTTATTATAATGTATTTGTTTTAGATTATATACCTAAACTACATAGGACACAAGACTTTGCACAAACACACATTGACATATATTCCTCTGAAATCAGTTTATAGAGAAGTTTTATATTGGAGTGGCAGAAACATCAAACCTGCCTTTTAAAAATAATTTATTGATATTTAATTAACCTGAAACTAATTTGGTGATCTTATGAAGTTCCACTTTTCTACTTTCAGGTACATATTCTCAGCAACTAAGGACCTCCTTACTAAAGAAGAAAGAGTTGATTGAAGATTTGATAAGCATGCATGTGCGTAGAAGTGGGTCTAGTGTTATTGGAAAAGTGAACCTGGAAATAAAGAGGAAATAAATTGAACTCAGAGCTAATTCATGCTTTGGAATTAAATATACAAATATATAACATTTTCCTTAACTATTGATTATTTATTTATTTTAAATGGTGGGAATGCCCAGAGATAAATATGAACCCAAATTCTCTCAGTATGCTTATTTAAAGCTGCTTTCTATTATTTATTTCTTTATTTATTTTAGGCTGCAAGCATGTTTCTTCAAATGGTGACATTACTGCCAGTCTATCCCACAGTCTAAAGGAGTTAAATGACTTCCAGAGATGACTTGGGGATTCTTTGTATCCATTTAATAGCTCAGTTTGGGATGCTTGACATGTTAATAAACTAGTGTGCCATACATTTAACTTGAATACACTGCATGGCTCCCAATACTTTAACCACTGGATTGCTTATGCATAGGCACATAAGGGTTGATATTTATTAATTACTAGCTACTGACAATCTATGATACCTGAATCTTGTTTGAAAGCATATTTTCGAATACTGAATGAAGCAAAAAGTAAAGCAAAACAAAAAACTGGCAAATAAAGCATTCCTCTAATGAAAACAAAATTAATAAAAGTTCTGGACCCCAGGTAATGTTATTGGAGTCTCTTTATTTCAATATTTAATGTTACCACAAATGACATCCAAACTCTAATAATGTTTAAGTGTAAATAGGTACAAACTATTTCCCAATAAGCACATTTGTTACTTGATTAAATATTATACCTCTATAAGTGTTTACACTTTGCATTGAAAAGCAAAATAAAAAGAACAGCATAAGAGAAGAACCCATAGATAATTATTTCCCTGATAAAATGACCAGGCCTGAACAAGGTTTAAAGCAGAGAAGCCCAATTAGCAAATGTATGTGAGTTCGAGACACAATGCTATTTTTATCTCTAATTATTCCCAACTCTCCAATCATTCTATTATAACCAATATATAGGATTGACAGCCAGTTTGAATTTCAGATATGTTAGCAGTTCCCTTGCTTTTTTCAGGTCCAAAGGAAGCCTCAGTAAATGTCTTCATTGAATGATTAGGGCCCTCCTTAAACTAGAAATTGCATCTAAAGCATTATTATCAGAAAACACAGTTTCATTTGAGGATTAGCTGAGTCTTGACAACAGGAAAAAGGAGCTTGGGGAAAGAGGTGGGGGAGAAGGCCCAGCCTCAGCTTTTGGCTCACTGGGAAAATTAGTATTTTATTAAAAAGCTGCCACCATTTGACTACCTTTTCTACATATGGGCTCGTGATTTTGCATTGATGATGCTTTTCCTAATGTTTTTCATCATATCCTTCGGAACTATCACGTAAATTCATTATCTCTTATAAATCATCAAAGAGACACTACACTCGGAGAATGAACTTGCAGAAGAGCCTGCCCTTTGTTCTTCCCTCACCTTGGTACTCTATGACAGGGATTGGCAACCTTTTTCTGAGAGTCTGATAGTAAATATTATAGGCTTTCCGGGCCATCCAGTCTCCACTGTAATTAATCAATTCTGCCTCGGCAAACAAAAGCAGTTATCACAATACATAAATGAATGAATATGGTTATGTTCCGGTAAAACTCTCTTTATGGACACTGAAATCGGAATCCATACACTTTTCAGGTGCCACAAAATATTTTTCTTTGGACTTTTTCAATGTTTTAAAAAGATGTAATAACCACACTTAGCTCATAGCCTGTTCAAAACAGGGAGAGAACAGAATTTGGCCCAGGGACTACAGCTTGCTGATGAAGCTTATCAAAGGTGTAAGGAACAAGCTGGGATGAAGTGAAAAGAAGAGTAACTCTGCTAAGTGACAAAACTAAAACCAAAAGTTTATGATAGACTGAAAAGCAGATTAAAAACTGTTAGGATGAGATGGAACAGGGATAACCTAGTCCTAATCCCATCCAATGGGACATTATTTCACTCTGTAAACAGTTTCAGGAATTACAGATCATATAAAAATCCACAGCCTCTCTGCATGTAACATGGCCTGCATCTCACGATAGTAGACAAAAACATTGAAATCACCACAATATTTACTGAAAGGAAGTACAGAGTAGTAGTTAGAGTATAGGCTCAGAAGCTGAGTTCAAATCACAGCTTCATCAAGAAGTGGCCAGATCAACTTCAGACAAGTTACTAAACCTCTTTGTGCCTCAGTTTCCTCATAAAATGAGAAACCTACTACCTAGGTTTCGTGTGAGGATTAAATGAGCCAGCACATAGAAAGTGCTTAAAAACTAAGTGCTCTAACAGTCAAAAAAGGTTAGCTGTTACTTTGTAAGTTAAGCATCTATAACCTAATCCAACATAATAAGAGAAAGGAGGCACACAGATGCTTTGGTGAAACTTGTTGGATGTGGAGATTTTAGAGAAAAACATTCATATATTAAATTTTTTATATTGAGATACTTGATTCATATACAGTTATAAGAAATAATACAGAGACATCTATATGATCTTCATCTAGTTTCCCCAGTGGGAACATCTGCATAACTATGGTACAATATTACAAGTAGGAAACTGATAGTGGTATAATCCAAATTTATTCAAATGTTACCAGTTTTTTTTTATTATTATACTTTATGTTCTAGGGTACATGTGCACAACGTGCAGGTTTGTTACATATGTATACATCTGCCAAGTTGGTGTGCTGCACCCATTAACTCATCATTTACATTAGGTATATCTCCTAATGCTATCCCTCCCCCTCCCCCCTCCCCCCTCCCCCCACCCCACAACAGGCCCCAGTGGGTGATGTTCCCCTTCCCGTGTCCAAGTGATCTCATTGTTCAATTCCCACCTACAAGTGAGAACATGTGGTGTTTGGTTTTCTGTTCTTGCAATAGTTTGCTGAGAATGATGGTTGACAGCTGCATCCATGTCCCTACAAAGGACACAAAGTCATCCTTTTTTATGGCGGCATAGTATTCCATGGTGTATATGTGCCGCATTTTCTTAATCCAGTCTGTCATTGATGGACATTTGGGTTGGTTTCAAGTCTTTGCTATTGTGAATAGTGCTGCAATAAACATACGTGTGCATGTGTCTTTATAGCAGCATGATTTATAATCCTTTGGGTATATACCCAGTAATGGGATGGCTGGGTCAAATGGTATTTCTAGTTCTAGATCCTTGAGGAATCACCACACTGTCTTCCACAATGGTTGAACTAGTTTACAGTCCCACCAACAGTGTAAAAGCGTTCCTATTTCTCCACATCTTCTCCAGCACCTGTTGTTTCCTGACTTTTTAATGACTGTCATTCTAACTGGTGTGAGATGGTATCTCATTGTGGTTTTGAGTTGCATTTCTCTGATGGTGAGTGATGATGAGCATTTTTTCATGTGTCTGTTGGCTGCATAAATGTCTTCTTTTGAGAAGTGTCTGTTCATATCCTTTGTCCACTTTTTGATGGGGTTGTTTTTTTCTTGTAAATTTGTTTGAGTTATTTGAAGGTTCTGGATATTAGCCCTTTGTCAGATGAGTAGATTGCAAAAATTTTCTCCCATTGTGTAGGTTTCCTGTTCACTCTGATGGTAGTTTCTTTTGCTGTACAGAAGCTCTTTAGTTTAATTAGATCCCATTTGTCAATTTTGGCTTTTGTTGCTGTTACTTTTGGTGTTTTAGACATGAAGTCCTTGCCCATGCCTACGTCCTGAATGGTATTGCCTAGGTTTTCTTCTAGGGTTTTTATGGTTTTAGGTCTAAATGTTACCAGTTTTACATGCACTCAGTTGTGTGTGTGTGTGTGTGTGTGTGTGTGTGTGTGTGTATCTATTTGCTAAGCCTATTCTCTAGCTGAAACATCAAGATAGAAAATTAGGCCATCGATTCAGTAATTTACATGATACTTGAGGAAGACTGTTGCATGCATCCATGTAGGTCACACATTTGAATGTTACTCCGGAGGTATTCACAGTAAGAATGGCCCTTCATGCAGAGATCTGACTCTGCCATTTACTCCTTCCTTCTTCATCCTCTACTCGCCCCCCTAACCCCCAGCCTTTACTCTGAACTGCAGAACTAAGATACGTAAGTAGGGAGGGAGATCAAAAAACAAAACTTGCTTTCTTCATAGTTCACAACAAACTATTAAAAGAAAGGTAGAAGTCTTGATTCTTTTAATACAGTTGTGCAACTGCATTTTGTCATCACACCAAGAAGCCTTTGAGCCTGGACTCCATTTCACTTCAAATTGGGCAAGGTGATTTGATCAACAAGGGCAGAGAAGGCCCTGCACACTTGCTGAGCTCCACTGTACAGGTCCATGTTTACTGAAGACTCTGGGCCTGAAATCAACAAACAGAAGAGTCTTTTAGAGGAACATACCTGCAGGTTCTCATGAAGGTCTTGATAAAGCTCTCACACGGAGAAGAAACAGAATCCATTTTTCCCTCAGTTCTTGAGGACAATGCCCTTAAGTTAGCTAGCAAATAAGATGGCTATTATTTACCATGATCATTACTACGAATTCAGCCAGGAATAAGTTCTTAAGAAGCACTTTCCCACAGCTCCTTGCACAAATTGGAGTTGCCAGAAAGCCCACTATTGAGCAGTGGCTCCAAAACTCTGGTGTATATAAAAATCACCTGGAGAGTGTTAAAACAGATTGCTGGATCTCACCTACAGAGTTCAGATTCTGTTCAGGTGGGACGGAGCCTGAGCATTTATATTTATTGTTAAGTTCCCAGGTAATATTGATGCGGCTAGTCCGGACACCACATTTTGAGAAGCAGTGCTCTATAGTTACCTGATTGATTAATGGTTTGAGTGGCCCCTGTGATCTGTCATAATAGAGATTGTGGTGTAGAAAGATCTATGATTTGGCAGGTATCAACTAAAATTTTGATATGCATAATCTTTAACTTAAAGAGTTCTGTTTTTAGGAATTGATCTTACAAACATATTTACACTTGCACATAAAGATACATGTTATAAGGATACACACCAAAGTATTTTTGTGATAAAAATTGGAAGCAACTTAATTATATACCAATAAATAAATTACAGTGCATTTGTACCCTGGTATATTATGCAGCGTTTTAAAAAATGACATGCTCAATGTCTAAGAAGAAAGCAAAAGCATAATACGATCTAACTTATGTTGAAAAAGTAGAGACATACATATGTGCATAGAAAACAGTTTGAAGGAAACTCACTAAACTGTTAATAGTGGTTACCTCTGAAAAACAGGTGGGAGAGAGGGAAGAGCATGATGAGGAATTCATTTTTTAAAAAATCTGTGCACTTTGTATTTTAATTTACAATAAACATGCAATATTACATTGTTTGTGTAATTAATAAAAATAAGCTCACAGGAAATGAAAACATGGGAAGATTTATTTCATTAGTTGTTTACTTTTTAGCTACATAATTATATTGTGGGTCCATCTGTGCTGTTTTTTATTGAACATAAGGCTAGAAGGTTCATGCATTTTTTTATCCCACTTATCCTCCAATACCACTCCAGAGTTTGTCCAGAGGCAAACTTATTTTAAGACATTGTTTCTCGGGCCACAGTGATAAAAACTTAAAATACAGCAATAAATAAATAGGAAAGCCATAATCAATCTCACATACTGTCATTTTTCTTATTGTTATTCGTTGTTTTCTTTTTCAGCTCTAGTCCCTCGAAATACTAAAAATAGCCAAAGATATGCACCTAACACCTAGCATGTTGCTTGGCATATACTTGAAATTAAATAAATGTAAGGACTGAATTAATATAGCACATAGGTAGAGACCTAATGAGATGCTAGATGGAATACTTGTGAAATTGGCTGTCCAGAGAAAATCACAATGACAAAATAATTCACTTAAATGTAATTAGAAGTCTATCTAGTCTTCGAGTAAATCAGGGATGTGAGAGTAGACTACAAGAATGATAGATGTAGAAATGAAAAAGTATTAGGTTTTCAGTCTATGTTCACTCTTCTGGGCAACTGAAATACTGAGCCCATATCTTATTTACGATAATTAATTAAGCAAGCCAATATGTATTGAATAGCTACTCTGTACTAAGACCTTTCCTTTGAGCTCCAGACTCTGTTGATTGCCTCTGTGATGTCTTCATTTGGATGTCTCTCAGGCAATTCACAATATGTTCAAAACAGAACTCTTGATTTGCCAACCGCATAACAGTTTTCCCAGTTTTCCCCATTGCAGTAAGTGTATCACCACTCATTCAGGGCAACACCGTCATCTCTTGGCTAGACTACAGTAGGCTTTTACCTGGTCTCTTTGCTTACCCCTTGCCTTTCTCTAAGTCACTCTCCACACAATGCCAGAACTTTTTAAAAATAGAAACATACCCCACTTCAAAATAAATGCCCAGTGCCCAGCACAGTGCTCGGCACATAACAAATGCTTGATTAATTGTTGTTGAATGAATGAGTTAGTGATTGAATGGTGAACCAACTAGACTTTTTTTCTGCCTTCATGGAGCTTAAATGCTGGAAATCTATCTTTTCCCATTAATTACTTCTGTGTATATCTGTCTATCTATCTATCTATCTATCTATCTATCTATCTATGAAGCAATGAATATAGTTAATCCTCGAACAACTTGAACTGTGTGAGTCCATTAATTTGTGGATTTTCTTCCACCTCTGCCACACCTGAGAAAGCAAGAGCAACCTCTCCTCTAACTCCTTCTTTTCAGCCTACTCATCGTGAAGATAATGAATAGTAAATATATTTTCTCTTCCTTATGATTTCATTAATAACATTTTCTTTTCTCTAGCTTACTTTATTGTCAGAATGCAATATCCGATACAAATAACATACAAAATACTTGTCAATCAACTGTTTACTTTACTGGTAAGGCTTCTTCTGTTCAACAGTAGGCTATTAGTAGGTAAGTTTTAGAGGAGTCAAAAGTTACATGCTGATTTTTGGCAGCATGGAGGACCAGTGCCCCTAACTTTTACTTGTTCAAGGGTCAACTGTGTATCCATTACTATTCCAGTAAACACTTCTAGGATTCCCAGGCAACATTTGAGATTACCTTATAAACAAATGAGATACAAATAATGTGCTCTCCTGAGCTTGGTCATTTCCTTAGAATTTGCTAAATTTGAAGCTTTAATTTCTGATTACTTAATACTTTTGAGTGATGGCTCTAGATGGGGAAGAAAGGAACAGGAATAAACCTCCTGCTCCCCACCCTTAACCATGCTCTTGTACATATAAGATCATGGCATATGCAAATAAAGACTGTTTTACTTGTTCCTTTCTGATTGGGATGCCTTTTCTTTCTTTTTCTTGTCTAATTACTCTGGCTAGGACTTCCAGTACTATGTTGAATACATGCAGTAAAAATAGGCATCCTTGCTTTGTTCCTGATCTTAAAGAAAAAAACTTCAGCTTTTCATCTTTAAGAAAAAGGAATATGATGTTAGCTGTGGGCTTTTTATATTTGGACTTTATTATGTTGAGGTAGTTTCCTTCTATTCCTAGTTTGTTGAGAGTTTCTCATGAGAGTATATTGAATTCTGTAAAATGCTTTTTTCCTGTATCTATTGTGATGATTGTGTGAATTTTTTTTTTTTTTTTTTTTTTTTTTTTTTTTTTGAGACAGAGTCTTGCTCTGTTGCCTAGGCTGGAGAGCAATGGTGTGATCCTAGCTCACTGTAACTTTGAACTCCTGAGCTCAAGTGATTTTCTTGTCTCAGTCTCTTGAGTAGCTAGAATTATAGGCATGTTTCAACATACCCAACTAAATTTTCTTTTTCTTTGAGATAGGGTCTTGCTCTGTCACCCAGGCTGCAGTGCAGTGGTGCAATCACAGCTCACTGCAGCCTTGATCTTCCAGGCTCAAGCCATCCTCCTGCTTCAGCCTCTCGAGTTAGCTGGGACTGCAGGCATGTACCAATACATCCAGCTAATTAAACAAATGTGGTGTTTTTTTTGTAGAGATAGGGTCTTGACAAGTTGCTCAGGCTGATCTCAAACTCCTGGCTTCAATTGGTCTCCCCACTTCAGCCTCCAAAAGCACTAGGATTATAGGTACGAGCCTCTACACCTGGCCATTGATTTCTTCTTTGACCCATTGATTGTTCAAGAATGTGTTGTGTAGTTTCAACATCTGTATACATTTTTAAGTTTTCTTCTACTATTAATTTCTAGTTTTATTTCACTGTGGTTGGAAAAGATATTTGGTATGATTTCAATCTTCTTAAATTTGATAAGACTTGTTTTATGGATTAACATATGATCTATCCCAGAAAATGTTCCATGTTTGCTGGAGAAGAATGTATATTCTGCACTATTAGGTGAAATAGTCTTTATATGTCTCTCAGGTCTATTTGGTTTACTGTGTTGTTCAAGTCTACTATTTCCTTGTTGATTTTCTGTCTGGAGGTTCTCTTTATTATTGAAAGTGGGTTATTGAAGTCCCCTACTATTATTATATCACTGTCTATTTCTCCCTTCTGTTATGTCAATGATTGCTTACATATTTAGGTGCTCTGATGTTTGGTGTATATATTATTATAATTATTGTATCTTCTGGGTAAATTGACCCTTTTATCATTTTATAATGACTTCTTTGTCACTTGTGTGAGTTTTTGACCTAAAGTCTATATTGTCTCATACAACTATAGCCATCCCGGCCATTTTTTGAATACCATTTACATAAAATATCTTTTCCCATACCTTCATTTTCGGCCTTTGTGTCCTTAAATCTGAAGTGAGTCTTTTGTAGACAGCATATAGTTGGGTCGTTTTCTTCAATCCATTCAGCAACTGTATGTATATCTTTTGATTGGAGGCTTTAATCCATTTATATTTAATAATTATTGATAGGGGAGGACAATTTTGCCATTTTTAGAGTTGCTTTTTGTCTGTCTTTTAGTTGTATTGCCCCTCTTCTCCTAGTTTGCTGTCTTCATTTTTTTAATATTATTTAATTCATTTTTTTCTTTTGTGCGTCTTTGACAGCTATTATATTTGCACTTACTATGAGGCTTATATAAAACATCTTACAGTAATAACAGCCTATTTTGGCTGATAATAACTTCACTTCAATTACATTCAAAAAGTTTTCACTTTTAGTCCCCATACACTTTTCTAAATAGTCTTTTTTTTTTTTTTTTTTGGGGGGGGGGGATGGAGTTTCACTCTTATTGCCCAGGCTGGAGTGCAATGGCATGATCTTGGCTCACTGCAACCTCCGCCTCCTGGGTTCAAGGGATTCTCCTGCGTCAGCCTCCTGAGTAGCTGGGATTACAGGCGCATACCATGATGCCTGGCTAATTTTGTATTTTTAGTAGAGACAGGGTTTCTACAT